TTCAGACAGCGCTGTGGATACAATAGAAATCCTACTTGCAAATCATTCAGATGTGGTTTTGCAAGTATTTGTTCTTTTAGTCTTTTAAATTGTGCATCTGAAAAATCAAATTGTGARGATGACGAAGACAATTTTTTAACACCAGAAGTAATAAGTGACTTACAGATTGATGATACACCAAAGGATAAAGATGTGGATATTCCAAAAACTACTTCCATAGCCTCTTCCAGTGATTCAGACGATACATTAAATTGTACAGAAAATGAATCAATACCTATGTCTTCTTTGTCATTAGAAAAATGTTCCTTAGAATATTATGCCTAACCTATGAATAATTTTAAAAATATAAATAAAGGAAAACAAAATTCTAAATTAATTATACTTCAACATAAGTAAAGATTTTTCAATTKTTGTTCATATATTTTTTAAATTCAAACATTATATTGGTATATTTCATTAAAAATATTATTATTATTATCATACCAAATTATATTTGTATTTAACAGTTGTAAGCCGTAGTTTTAATGTTAAAAGACATTTCGAGACAGTTCATAATAATAATATATTTTCTCTATCGGCTGAAGAAAAATTAGAATTGATTTCTTAAAAAGTAAAATTTTTTAGAAGTCAATCAAACAAATTTAAAGTGGCGTTCAAACAAAATAATAATTTATCAGCCGCTAGTTTTTCTGTGTCGCATTGCATTGCGCAGCATGGTAAGCCACTTTCTGACGGAGAATACTTAAAAGAAGTTTTTGTTAAGGCGTCTAACATTTTGTTTCATGATTTTACTAATAAAAATGAAATAATAAAACGTATTAACGATTTGCCTGTTAGTAGAAATACTGTAAAAGATCGTATTATTTGTATGAGTAATGATATAACAGATCAGCTTCAAACAGATTTGGCTTCAGAAAATTATTTTTCAATCTGTCTTGACGAAAGTACAGATGTAACTTCACAGGCGCGACTAGCAGTCTTTGTTAGGTTCAGTAGTATTAATATTATGAGGGAAGAATTATTAAAATTAATGACGATTTCTACTAAAACAGCTGGTCAAGATATTATGAATGTAGTACTTAAAGAATTCGCCAATTTAAAAATAAATATAAATAATATTGTTTCAATAACTACGGATGGTGCCCCTAATATGGTTGGCAAACACAATGGATTTGTTCAACTTTTTTCGAAAGAAATTTCTCATCCGTTAATCAGTTTTCATTGTTTAATACATCAAGAAGCGTTGTGTGCTAAAGACAGCTTGAAATCGCTTCAAAATGTAATGGAAGTAGTTAAAAAAGTTGTCAATTTCATTACATCTCGTGCTTTAAATAACCGACAAATTACTAAATTATTAGATGAAGTTGAATCACAATACGCTGGCCTTTTAATGTATAACAGTGTTCGTTGGTTGAGTCGTGGTCAAGTTCTTCATCGATTTGTTGAATTATTAGAAGAAATACGATTATTTTTATTCGAAAAATCTCAAGACTATCCAAAACTTAAAGATTTAAATTGGTTGAACGATTTAATGTTTTTCACTGATTTTACTACAATGTATAATGAATTAAATAAAAAACTTCAAGGGCCCGGTCACATAGTCTTAACAATGTTTGAAAATATCAAAGGTTTTGAAAAAAAAAATTGAAATTTATTGTAAAGATCTTAAAAATGAAAAATTTAAATATTTTCCACATTTGAAAAATCATCTGAACAATTCATTACACTTTGCAGATAGTCAGACTGACATCAAATGTATAATTAAAAAATATGTTAATATATTAGAAAATACAACTGAATTATTTTCTAATAGATTTTCACAGTTTCGATGTCTAGAACCAACCTTTCAATTTTTAATAAATCCGCATAAAATTACATATGATGAACTTGATCTATCTTTTTTTGAACGGCTAAATATCGAAAACTTAGAAATAGAATTAATAGAATTTCAGGGAAATGTAATTTGGAGAAATAAATTTATTAATTTAAACAGTGAACTGGAAAAAAATTATTGTGAAATTGATAGCAGTATTAAAACCGAAAACCTAATTCTTATTGAGTGGAAAAGTCTACCAAATTCATTTACATCCATGAAAAAATTAGCACTTTCATTATTGACTATGTTTGGTTCTACATGTACATGTGAGCAGCTATTTTCCTCCATGAATTTTATCAAATCCACTTTGAGAAATCGTCTTGGAACAGATATCAGTGCAGCATGTATTTAATTAAAATCTACAAATTATAATCCCAGGATTGATTCGTTAGCTGGAAATACGCAGCAACAAATTTCTCATTAAAAACTTATTTTTGTAATTAAAAAAAATATGTGTTTGTATTAATATGTAATAGTAAATTAATGCTGTAAAGATATATTAATATGTACATGTAACTTTATAAATAGTAAATAGTAAATGCTGTAAAGTTATATTAATATGCAATAGTATCTAAACAGAAAATGCTGTAAAGTTTAAATATTTTATACACATAACAACAAATTTATATGTTTAATTAATTATTTTTTAAGCAAAAAAAAAAGGTCTGCAAAGTTTCTGACACGCGAGGCAAATAAAATCAAACCAAACATTTTGATTTGACACGCAGTTATCAAAAGGTTCGCCATCCCTGCTATAGAGCTAATGTATGGACATATTAGTTTGTTTTTGTATCAATATATTGGATGTTATGTGCAGATTATACTTTTGTCATTTTTAAAAAAAATTGGTCATTTGAAATTTTATGATTTTATTGTTATTAATATTAATATTTATTTATTCATTAGTTTATGGGTCTAGACCACCATCAATTTATTGTTAATTATTACATTGTTATAAAATCTAAATTATCTAATTTTGAGTTATTAATAAGATATTAATATTATAGTTAAATAATTAATTTTTCAAATGTAACATTTTTTTCATGTTAAAAATTAACTGTCGTGGTTTGTTTCATAAATAAAAAAATTTACATTTACATTGAACGATTTAAATCCGAACCATTTGGAATAAAAGGTCAAATTTTAACTGGTATCCAGATGGTAATGAGTTTACAAACAATAACGGGTAGGTACCCGATCCATAACGGGTACCCGATCCATAACGGGTATCCAATCAATAACGGATACCCGAAATATTGTTAATCGGGTAATGCCCGTAAAACCAGGGTACCTGGGTACTCGGGTATCGAGAGCACTATTTCCGATTTTAACATTAATTATTCATATATTTCTTACTATACCTACTACAACCGTTGATACTCGTTTGCGCACACTACACAATTTTTTACCTGTAAACTGACAACTCGTTTGCGTACATCGAAAAACGTTAATACTAATTTTGACCTGAAAAATGACGACTCGTTTGCGTACAGCTATTTCATTAGACTTTATTGTTACGTGTGAGCAAATTTCGATAAGATACAAGTAATTGATTAACTAGTGTGCGGTTCTAAAGAAGCATTACATTAAAATTAATAAAATAGTAAATACAAACATAACATTGAAAAATCATGACAAATTTAATTTAAATTAAATTAACAAAAAAAAAAAAAAACATTTTTAATCATGCCAGTTATAAACCGACAGTCCTAAGCCTGTAAAAGTGAGAAGGAAAATGTTTGAAAACAATCTTCAACATTATTTTTGTTAAGGGTTTTAGTAGATTTTTGCTATACTTTATGTACGCAAACGAGTCCTACGTTTTGGGTCATTTATCACAGGTATTAAAAATTCGTGTGCGCAATCGAGTTATACATTTGTACGCAAACGAGTAGCAAAAAAGGATAAATGTGCGCAAACGGGTATCGCTCACTACAACTGCCAGCTGTGAAAGATCATTTTCGTGTTTAAAATGACTTAAGACTTATCTAAGGATCACATTGGGTCAAGAACAATTAAGTAATCTTGGTACATTACAAATTGAAGAAAAAAAATTACTATATGGAAGTCATTGATGAATTCAACAATAATTTATCTGTGAATAGCCGAAAATTAGTTTGACATAAAATTATAAATATTGTTAATTATAATATAAATAAATAATAACATCTGTTAAATATAAAAATATACTTATTTAGTTAGTTTTAATGTTTTTTTTTTTTTTTAAGTTAAATGTAAAGTAAAAATGGAATACCCATTGCTTAAGACCATGGTAGGGGGAGGTGTATGCATATTTAAAGCTCAACGATTACATAAAAAATATCGCAACATCAAAAATGTTACCAAATTACGCCACTGGATTTCACTTAACTGTTTTTTTCCGTGTCTACAGTAAGCGTAACCTTAATATTGATATTCCTGGCAAATGTTTTGTGAAGGGAATTTAAAACGCTGGTCAGGAATTCTAAATTGAGTAGGTTTTTCCAGTAATTTAAGCGAAAAAATGTGTAGAATTCAGGTTGTGAAAGGTGGGATAATGCATGATATAACCATATATTAGTATTTATGACAATGCTAATAAATAGGTAATACGACTATTTCATAATGGGCCTGTGTATTTTTATTTTTTTAAATAATACAATTTAATAAATAATAATACTTATATAATATATAGTTAATATGTATATTTTTTTATGCGTGCAATGAAAAAATAATCAAACACTCGAGATCGAAAAATATGTGGAAAAGTTCTTGCTAAGGTTAAGTAAATAATATTAAATTGTGCATAGAGGCATAATTTTTACTTGAACCCTGAACAAGTGCTTTACCCCAGAAGTGCCCCTCAGTGTACGATGTGACGGGACACAAATGGACGAAGGTACTTCGGTCGACTTTGTCGGCGGTACCATAAAAGACAGTAAAGCATACTATAATATTATGAATGCATAATATATGTATATCTATGTACCCACTAGTCACTACTCACGTATAATATAGTATATCATTAACGACTACAGAAAAATAATTACATCAAACACTCCACACGTCTCTTTACGCGTGAATATTTCCAAATAATTGTTAATTAATAATATTGAATATATACACCTTAATAATACACCTTGTCTTATAGGTACACTTGTGCCGATACATAGAGATGTGATATAGATAAATAATGGCTATCTGTATGCAAGGCAGAACTAAATAAAATGATGGATTTTACTACTCAATTTTAGAGTTATATTTAAAGAAAGGATCCCTACAGATATAAAAAACAAAGGTTACATATTCGGCTTTTTTAGGGTTATGAAGTTAGAACATGATTTTTATTAACTATTTGGGAATTTATTTGATACGCCAAATGCCTGTTGAATGATATTATTAATTTAAACATCGAACCCAACTTGAATTTTATTTAACATTTATAATTACGCATGATAATTGTTTTCAGTCATAGAACTTCGAATGTAAGTGAAATAACGTCTATGCGTTATTATGGGGATAACTATTTTAATACTRTGGTAGTTATTAGATAATGGATGTTAGTACCTACATTGCATAACCTTTCTATAGAAGTGAATATTTCATATTATCGGCCATAGCCCACAATATTTTCTCCTACCTATCATAATATTATTTTTCATAGTATTTACGATTATTTAGTTTTTAAGTGAGTTATGAAAAATTTAGTTTACGGTTTTTACATAGGTACGCATAACTTGCTACAAAATTATATAGATAATGTAACAGCATATATAATGTTCTTAACGTCAAGTTTCATAATTAGTCGATTCACTCTAATTTTTAAACTAACGGAGCTAAACAAGATCCACTGAAGGCAGAAAAGACGAAGGCAACAAATGGATATGTAGCCGATTGTAGCGTTCCTTCTCTTACAAAGACTTCACATCTGCATTTGTATCTGTCTTACACACGTACTACAAGGAAAATTTTCGTATAATACTATAATAATTTATAAAAATATAAATAGAACAATATTCCCAATTGTTGGGTCGCCTCACAAACGCACAAATAATAAATACATATGACATATATACCGTGTTTGGGGTGACTTTGATAATTTTTACAACTTTCTTTGCACAATATTACTCATAACTTTTGTATACTTATGAATAAAAATCTAATAATGGTATCGCTACTTTAAGTTCTATTTTGCCTTTAAATAGGTTAAGTAATATTTTGAAAAACCTTAGTAGTTTTTAAAATATAATTTTTTGAATGTTCCTATCAATCTTAAACCACATGTGGGGTCACTTTRATACCCCCATTTTYTTCTATGTTAAATTGATGGTACAGCATATAGACCAGTCAATCTCGACCCACATAAAATTTGGTTGAGTAGTTTAGAAGTTATTGCATAAAATGTACTGCRGGGTGACTTTGATAGGATTTTTAAACGATCAGGTTTTTTTGTAATAATTAATATACAATTATGTTTTTCATTAAAACAAAACAAACTTTATTATATAATTTCTAAAAATAAACAATAGGTATAAAACAATTAATTATACCATTACCCAGCCTCTCTTTGACAGTCTTAGTTAGGAGTTATTAAATAGTTAATAGGTTAACAATTAATTAATAAAGAACTTTTTAAAACAAAACATAGTATAAAATAAATAATTAATTAAACAATTAATCAGTCTCTCTTTGACATTCTTAGGTAGGTATTATATCACAATATTAGGTTATAAGTAGGTTAGGTATTAAGTAAGTTGTAATGTAAATTACAATTTTGGTAAATCAACAATAACTAAGTCTCAAATACATCAACTTCATGAGGAAAAACATACCTAATATGTCCTCTAATTTTTTCAACTTTTGGTGTTTTAAGAACCGCAACTACTTCATCAATTTCAACATCAAATAAATCATTATCACACACTTTAAACGTTAATTTAGATGTATCAAGTGACTTCAAGCCATTCATGTGGTAAATGTCATTGGAAATCTCTTTTACCACTGCTACATATTGATATTTTGTTTTTTTCTTTTTCCTGATGTTATAGTCACCAACAAGAACGTCCCAATATTTATATTATTAGTAGAGGGCACTTCATAATTTGACAAAGCTTCATTTTGAATTTCTTCCTCTTCATCTGTGTCTTCAAATGGGACAACTTCATCTTCATCGCTAGTTTCCAAACCTAAAAGTGCTGTAGTAACACTTACTCCTGCTGCTACATTTATCTTCTTCCTYTTACGATTAGGTTCAGTCTTGTCATATCTCAGTGTCTTTAAATATTCAGTGACAGTATCATTAACAACTTCTTGTTCACATTCTCTGGGTAGCTTTTCAGTTATTACTTGGCGATTACAAGGGTAAATGCCCGTTGCTTTAAATCCTGACTTAAGGTTTTCAGCGATATTTCCAACTTCATTCATCCTGTTTAAACACTCACTAACTAGTGATGGAAATGTGGATTTTGGAATTGACTTTTGTCTTGAATTTTTGTTTTTCCATTGGTTTAGGCAATAACGCCAAGCCTCATTTAATGAACGGAAAAATGAAACGTCCAATGGTTGTGTTAAGTGGGTAGAGTTTTTGGGTAAACACACAAAGTATATATCTGATTTTTCACACTCAGCTATAACGTCTATATTAAAATGGGAGGCCAAATTGTCCCCAATCAAAACTTTCTTCCCTTGTAAACGCTTTGCATGGGGTAAAAATGATGTAAAGAACCAATCTTTAAAAGTGTTTAATTCCATCCACCCATGTGATGTGCAATTGTATCTTAATCCTTTATTACAACATGCATTAGAACAACAAGGGGCCCCTCTTGGTCCACCGTTTGTCCAAGATTCCCACAAACTTCCAGAACGAAATACAATGTATGGTGGCAAAAGCACTCCAGAGGCTGAACCACATACCATAATGGTTGTGGATGACTTAGAATAATTTTGAATTTTGACTGGGTAT